GAAATTTATACGCCAAACGTCAACTTCAGACGCCAAATCTTAATTTATTGCTTTGGTGAATGGCATGACTAGTGGTAAATTTGCTTTCTTAAATCATTGCTAAAGAGCACAAGTTTAATAAGTTTAACATATTTCAAAACTGGTGTAAAAGCTATAATAATAGAGTTGTAAAATCAAAAACTTCGCTAGCGGTTTGACGTTTGCCGTAAACGTCAATCTTAAGGTCTCTAATATAGCCTTGCGAAATTTGCCGTTTTTCAGTCATTTTGTATTACGCACGGGAAATTGACAGCCCAATCGGGTGTTGGGGCATCAATTTCCCGTTTGTTATATAAAATGACTGAAAATTGCAAATTCTATATAATCGCAAGGCTATATTATCCGCATTTTACAACATTTCGCAACGAAACTTTGGAATGTTACTAATTTTGTGATGCTCTTTCAAGCTATGATGAAATTTTTGTCTAAACCAAAATTTAGTCTATAATGCAAATGGTCCATTAAGACATTCATTTCAAGAGAATTCTGAGTAGACTGCAAGCTTTAACGGTGGAATTAAGCGTTTCATTTCACTCTGAGAGCCTGCTCGCGGGCTAGCGTTGCTATGGATTTGCCTCGTCAATACGACCCTGGTGACGCAACTGCGTGACACGCACGTGGTCCAGTAAGCTCTGCATGTGAGAATTGGTATGGTTTCTCATCTTTTAAGAACTTCCTCGTGCATATTTTTTCCAAATTGCACACGAAGCCATACTAAAAACTCGGCTAGCGTTAGTGTTACGGATGCGGCGCTTATTTGAGGGCGGCACTCTTTATAAAATATTTTATTTGTAAGTGATAACAAGAATTATTAGCAACAAAATATAACATAAAAAACACTGAAATACATGCAAGAGAAAAACGCCTGGGTATGTTAAATATAGCAACCTCATACCCAGGGCGTTTTCCGACGCAGACAATTTATCAGACGCTGCTTCGACTAAGTAATTTCGCTTTTTTGTGAATAAGTGCCGGACGCTTATTCGAGGGCGGCACTCTTTAATAATTTTGCTTTCTTGGGGGCAGCCCTAACTAATTTCACATTTGAAATAATGTACAAACCGCAATGTTTAGGTAACAATAAATACACTTAATGAGCATTGACATATATAAGCTGGGGTTTAAGAAATTTCTACGTTGAGAGACAGTCAACAAATTGCATACCTGAATTTACATCCCATACGTCATTCACCACGCACGGAAACACATGGCGTCAATAGGCAGGCCAATATTTACGAAAGCTTTGCTCTAGATACACAACTGATTTTCAGATTTTGGTGATTAGATCAAGGGGAAGTTCTAGAAGGAGTTTGTACAAAATTGGCAACGTGCATGTCTGCATGAGTGAAGCTGGGATTAAAGCCCCGAATGGCCCCCGATGAAACGATGAGAGTTGAAACTCTCGCTCGCGTTTAACCAACTCTCATCGACTCTCATCAACTTTGAACTGGTTCAAATTTTGATGAGAGTCGATGAGAGTTTTCGCTATCTGCGTACTCTCTCGTCAACTCTCATGTAAGTGTAGATCATGCTCTCGTTCGACCGGGGCATGAAAGTTGAGAAAACTCTGATGCAAACTCTCGCTTCTCAACCTTCTTCGTCCTCGTTTGATCAGGGATTAAGTCACTACATTGGTGCAATTCCAGTTAAAACGTATTCATATTAAAATTGAGAACTAGGTTGCCCCCAATTTTACTCTGATGATATTTTCCACAGGTAGCATACAATCAAAAACATGAATGAAAATGACAGAATATCTGTGATGTACACTTGCTATCGGAGATTTTGCTTTGCCCTTTCGGTGTGTATATATCCAGAAAGGTTTTATATTCCCCGCATAATGCAATATTGCTACCTTACATAGTTGTCTCTCTACCGCCATTAGCCAATATATCGGAATCATTTTCACCCTGCAGAATATCATCCATCTTAGTACTGTCCCTATTCCTGGGGTCCTCGACGTCATTCGTCTGACCGTGGTAAGGAAGGAAGGGGATATACCGAACGAATGGGTACTTTTGTAAATAGGACGTCACGAACGGGATATCATAGGTGTGGATAGAGGTCATCTCATTATTGGCTTCATCGGTTTGGTTGTCGTGTATTTCGCGCCATTTTAGGATGCCTCGTTCTTCTTCTGTTCCAGGGAGGGTGATATCAAGGAAAAATCCGACCATACCTCCAACCCACATGCTGGTTGTAAGCAGGACAATCAGGATTTGGTCCAGTATGTGATTATCTGAAAATATGGCAACAAGATTGGTAATCTGCGGTTGTGTCTGTCTGTCTGTCTGTCTGTCTGTCTGTCTGTCTGTCTGTCTGTCTGTCTGTCTGTCTGTCTGTCTGTCTGTCTGTCTGTCTGTCTGTCTGTCTGTCTGTCTGCGTTTTTATGTACGAAACATTTCTAAACATGCCAAAAGCGTACCTACCTGTATCGATGACATGAATGTTCGCTTCGACCCATTTTGGAACGACCAAACCGATGAAAATGCTGAAACCAATTATAAACAGATTTCGTTGAGAGTTGAGATCCACAAACTGAAGATTGGACAATCCAACAGCCGTGACCATACCAAACATGATAATAAAAACACCACCAATGATCGGTTCAGGGATGGTGGCAAATAGAGCACCAAACTTTCCCAACACTGCCAAAACCATCATAAAGAGCGAGCCATATACTACCACACGACGGCTGCCCACCTAAATTGTTGAACAAATGTAAATCACACACGCAGAAATTGAGCAAAATAATATAAATCGCGTACTACGAAGGTATGAAAATTATGGCGGCCTGGTATATCTTTTTTCAGTCACGTACCATGCACGTAGATACGCTGAACTCTTGCTATCTGCTTCCTTTTTGCTGGTACGTGGTACCATATGACCTTTTCAATCCCGTTAGTCTGACATGTCTTGGTATTTATTTATTTATTTATTTATTTATATAACTTCGCCATTTATATATACCATACAGTACAATACAAAAAAAACAAAAAAAAACAAAAAAAACGATACAATCTAACAAAGACAGTACAATATATATATACAGGGTGTATAAAAAAAAACTGAACAGATTTGAAATTGCTCTCAATTTCGCAAAACACCTATTTGTATCTGTTTTTATATATATATAGCTTCTTTGGGTACTTATAATGTAAAATAATAAAAAAAATT